CAAGAAATAATCTAATTAATTGGAACACATGCTGTTACATCCAAGGAGGGGGCGCAGCCCCCCCCCCCTAGTCCAATTCGGACTAGGCCTTGGGGGGCGCCCAACCTCTCTTCTCTCTTTTCCCTAAAGCCCAATAAGGCCCATATACTCCCCGGCGAATTCCCGTAACTCTCCGGTACTCCGAAAAATACCCGAATCACTCGGAACCTTTCCGAAGTACGAATATAGTCGTCCAATATATCGATCTTTACGTCTCAACCATTTCGAGACTCCTCGTCATGTCCCCGATCTCATCCGGGACTCCGAACTCCTTCGGTACATCAAAACTCATAAACTCATAATATAACTGTCATCGAAACCTTAAGCGTGCGGGCCCTACGGGTTCGAGAACAATGTAGACATGACCGAGACACGTCTCCGGCCAATAACCAATAGCGGAACCTGGATGCTCATATTGGCTCCCACATATTCTACGAAGATCTTTATGGGTCAGACCGCATAACAACATACGTTGTTCCCTTTGTCATCGGTATGTTACTTGCCCAAGATTCGATCGTCGGTATCTCAATACCTAGTTCAATCTCGTTACCGACAAGTCTCTTTACTCGTTTCGTAATACATCATCCCGCAACAAACTCATTAGTTGCAATGATACCTCTCCGACAATCGGAGTGACAAATCCTAATCTCGAAATACGCCAACCCAACAAGTACCTTCGGAGACACCTGTAGAGCACCTTTATAATCACCCAGTTATGTTGTGACGTTTGGTGGCACACAAAGTGTTCCTCCGGTAAACGGGAGTTGCATAATCTCATAGTCATAGGAACATGTATAAGTCATGAAGAAAGCAATAGCAACAAACTAAACGATCAAGTGCTATGCTAACGGAATGGGTCAAGTCAATCACATCATTTTCCTAATGATGTGATCCCGTTAATCAAATGACAACTCATGTCTATGGTTAGGAAACATAACCATCTTTGATCAACGAGCTAGTCAAGTAGAGGCATACTAGTGACACTCTGTTTGTCTATGTATTCACACATGTATTATGTTTCCGGTTAATACAATTCTAGCATGAATAATAAACATTTATCATGATATAAGGAAATAAATAATAACTTTATTACTGCCTCTAGGGCATATTTCCTTCAGTATGACCACACAATACCTCTGATCCCTGGTGCCACACCAGTATGCATTAGACAATATGGAGTTGCATCCGCTTTAAAGGATGAAATGGAGAGACAAGTTCAAGAGATGTTAGCATCTGGAATAATCAGACACGGTAATAGTGCATTTTCTTCACCAATGTTGTTAGTGCAGAAGAAGGACAAAACCTGGAGACCAGTGTTTGATTACAGACATTTGAATGCCATTACTGTCAAAAGTAAATTCCCAATTCCAGTTATTGATGAATTGTTGGATGAGTTAGTTGGTTCTTATTGGTTTTCTAAGTTGGATCTTCGGTCTTGATATCATCAAATCAGACTTGCACCTGGTGAAGAACATAAAACTGCCTTTCAAACACACAGTGGCCACTTTGAGTTTTTGGTACTCTCTCAAGGGCTGACTGGTGGGCCCAATACATTTCAGTTTGCTATGAATGATACCTTATCTCCTTGTCTTAGAAAAAATGTTGTAGTTTTCTTTGATGACATCTTGATATTCAGTGCTACTTATCCTTTACATCTACAACACTTAGCAGAGGTTCTGAAACTGCTGTTGCAACATCAGTGGCAGGTCAAACTTTCCAAATGTAAGTTTGCTCAGACTCAAATTGGTTATTTGGGGGCATATCATCAGTGGGCAAGGGTTTGCTACAGATCCTTCTAAGATTAGAAGCATTCAGGATTGGCCAGTCCCTGTTTCAGCTAAAGAAGTGAGAGGGTTTGGGGGCTTGGCTGGTTATTACAGGAAGTTCATCTCCCATTATGGCATTATTAGTAAATCTCTTACTAATTTGCTCAAGAAAGGAGTGCCCTTCCATTGGGCAGACTAAGAGCAAGTGGCCTTCAGTACTCTCAAACAAGCTTTAATTACAGCTCCGGTTCTAGCTCTCCCTGATTTCTATAAGAAATTCATTTGTGGAGACTGATGCTTGTGATGTGGGTATTGTAGCTGTTCTAATGCAGGATGGCCACCCGTTGGCATATGTTAGTAAAGCTTTGGGGCCCAGGAATCATACTTTATCAGTCTATGAAAAGGAATATTTGGCTATTCTTCTTGCTGTAGAGCATTGGCGCCAGTACCTACAACTGTCAGAATTTGTTATCGAAACTGGTCAACACGGTTTAGCCATATCGGTTGTGAAGGAGGTGAACAAGGAGGAAGAGGCTCGGTTGTTCCCTGGGGAAGAGCTGAAGCACTTGCTGGAGATTCTACTATGGGCTATGGACGAAGCGGACTCGAAGATCTCGGCGCAGTAGAGGAACTGGATGGCTTTCAAGTCGCTAACTACCACATCGCTCGCTCTGGTGGAGGTGGTCATGGCGCTTCCGTCACCGGGCATGAGGCTTGAGCCCATAGTGATCGAATATGAAGTTTTGGTGTTTCAACTGGGGATGACGCCTGTGTGTGGAGCTACACGCGGCGGCAGATCAGCAATGCCTCTACATCGTTCCCCTCACTTCACACTAATGGTACGCCGCTCGATACTCCTCACTCGGGGCAGAAATTAGGGTCCAATCCTACTCGTAACCATTTTTGGTTGCCAGCTGGAGAGGATTCTAACGACGGCTTTGGTGAGGGGGTTGTCGATGGCTCGAATTTTGGTAATTCTTCCTCTGCTTCTCGTTATCTTCGTTCTGTTGCACATCTGGGTGCTAAAACTAAGTAAAAAATTCTAATAGACAACACCATCACATCAGAAAGGTTAATTGGCAATCTAAAAAAGACATTGATAATTATGTGTCTAGTTTGTTTCTAAAAAAAGTAGCCTAAACATAATAACGATGAAGATGACAGGATGGCTTTACCGTCTAATTTGCCCTATTTTCCCTTTAATGGATTCCCCTGCTTGGGGGCAAATATCATAGTGCTTATGTTGATAAAGCTCTGATTAAAATGAGACCGTATATTCCTAGAGCTAGTGATCTGTGTAGGATTCCTGGGATTTTAGAGGATATTGGGGGAGATGATAATGTTGAAATTCACAAAAGTAAAGTGAATTATGTTGGATGCTCTTATCAGTGTGATATTAAGAGGTGTCTAGATGCTAAGATTCCTAAATATTTCTGTTTAGAGGAACATTTTGGGTGTTTCTCTGACGAAACTGAATTGACAATCTGTGGTAAAAGCGAAAGAAAAATTTGGGGATCATGGGCTGTTTTTGCCAATAGGTTTAGGACTTGGTGGGCTCCTAGGGAGTGGAGATAGGCTGAATGAGGCCCACTATACTTCGCAAGAGTGCAGGGATGCGGGGAAATGGCACTTATATACCCCACCCCCATCTCTGACCTAGTTCATTTAGACCTTCCCCCTCCACTTACCTTTTGAGAGGAAATGGTGGCTGCTAGGGTTGACAGTGTTTGCGAAGGAGGACATGAAGAGTTCGGGGTGATCTTATGGCTAGAAGACAAGGGAACTGGCAGGCAAGGCCAGCTAGAGGATGGCAAGGTGGTAGATCCAATAACTTTCAAAACAAATATGGTGTTTCACTTGGTGACAAAGTCAGATCCGGCTGATCTCAGGCAGGCGTCCCGAGCTTAATGTTTCGACATGATGGTAACATGGGCACGGGATTTTACTAGGTTCAGGCTCTCCTAAGAGATAAAACTCATGCTCCGGTGCTCTCCTAAGTAAGACTCCGTCATCGAGGTCGTCAACAATAGAGGAGAGGTGTTGCTTTTGTGTTTACCCATCCAAATAGGTATTGCCTTATTGCTCTTATTTTAAAGTTTCATCTTGGAATAGATGTACCACCAACACCAGTCGCCAAGCCTGTTCCACACATTCTTGATTATGTCTGTAAAGCCTTTCCCGCTGCAACCATCCCAATTCAAACTTGAAAGGGCAGCGAGCGGGTGTATTTGTAGAGTTAGAATCAAGAATAATGGTCACATATAATCCGATAGTGCCTCGATACGCCCTAGGGTCCATACGGTTATCGAAGGAAATTTTAGCTCCCAGTCGGTATCCATGAATACCTATCAAGCTTCTCATATGTGGGCACAGAATGGTCATTAGTCCAAGTGAATTGTTGCCCCAACATACTTCCTTTCCGAAGATAAATTGTCAATCACATTACTTAATAGAAAAGGCCAGCGGGTGTTGACATTTAACCCAATATCCTTGTTTGCACACAGATATCACATCTTTCATGTGATCCAGCCACTTCGGAAGAATAGAAAATAGGAGCGGACAGAGCTGAGCAGAGTACTAGGAGGCGTTTATTTATCTAAGTTTTCTTCCCCGTTTAGGATAAGAAGAACATCAGGTGAGGTGTGCATATGGTGTCAACATTGCGAGACTTCCGTTGTCTTGTGAGATTAATTTAACTTGATGAGGTATGACTAATAAAACAAACATTTGGTGGAAATACTGTGCTGCCAAGAAGCAACATCTGTAAAGCATCCCGGAGGAGAGAAGAAAATTCATACTTACATGAGAGAGAATGTGAGGAGAATGCGTGCTCATTTTCCTTTATACGGTATATCTCAAAACTTGCCCAATGAACCATACATGACAACAAAAACAAAACTGTCAATTTCCATTGCATACATATTTTTAGCCTACACGTCATGGCTTGGTACCAACTCTACCTTCTATCTCCAACAAGGTGGCTTGCCGACTCTGGTCTCCAAAACAATAGCAGAATTTCATCTGTATTACTACTCACTATTGGCGTCTATATATACGCGACTAATATAACATTACAAAACGAAACAAACCCTTTCCCCGAGACAAAGATATACACGGGCACACGTGCAACTAGCAAGATCATGGTAAGAAGTTACTTTATTTCAGATTACTCTACTCTCCCACTAGCTTAGCCGTTCACCCTTCAAATAATCCCCCTATCTCCACTTCCAGTTCCCCACCGGTATACTTCTTCTGTTTCTTGTTCCCCACCATTGGCCCATTCAACGAATCAGACACACCTGAATGTCGGCTTCCCTTTCCCCGCAGTGCAGATAAGGACACCTCATACGACGGAACAATCAGATCCACGATCTCCCGCCGCAGTTGGTACCTGAGCTCAGCTGTAACCTTCCACGTCATCTGACACTTAGATGTAGCAAGAAATTGGGCAGTAAACTCCTCCACGTTTAAACGGTTCAGAGGAGCCCAACACTCGTCCAGGTAGCTCTTCTTGTACCCCTCCATCATTGAACTGAGCCTACTCGCCAGTTCGTCACCCACAAAAGATGCCCTTTGATGCCGCACCATTTGACGAACATTAGATGTGTTATTCAGCAAGAATATGTATTTTCCACCATGTTCACCTTGGCGCACCAATTCTGCATCTTTCTCGAGCCTGGATACCCACCAATCAACCACGTGAGAGTAAGGGTAAATGCTGTTGCTGCCACAGAAAATAGCCAAGGCTTGTATGAGAACCACATTTGCTGGGTGAACGGTTGATTCGTCGCTGCTACGGATGTCCACGACTATTTCGCCCTGATCATCCATCATCTTGCTAAGAATACCGGCGACCTCAGTAGATCTGTCCAAAAGCAGGTAGGTCGCACTGTTAGGAACCATAACAGATAATTGAAATCGCATAATTGTACTATTGATTGTGGCCGGGGAATGATCTTTTCACCCTTATTATCAGATTTTGCTCCAAATTAGTACAGTACTAAGTAGTTCGCCGATCTCACGGCGGCCGCAGCTACTGACACGGGCGGTACAGCGAGGCGAGCACGCGCGGAGCGGTGGCCAAGTTGCTCGGCGCAGCCAGCTGCGACATGCGGAGCTGCGGCCGCCGCAGACGTGTACCTATGGCATGCTGACCCGGCATGCCGTGGCCGCCGTGGACACGCACCCATGGCATGCCGTGGCCGTCGCGGACGCGCACCTATGGCATGCTGACCCGGCATGCCGTGGCCGCCATGGACACGCACCCATGGCATGCCGTCGCGGTCGCAGACGCGGCCCTATGGCATGCCGCGGCCGTCGCGGACGCGCACCTATGGCATGCCGCGGCTGTCGCGGTCCCAGACGCGCCCCTATGGCATGCCGCGGCCGTCGCGGACGCACACCTCGCAGACGCGCACATATGGCATGCCGCGGCCGCACACCCATGGCATACCCATGGCATGCCATGGCCGCCGCAGACGCGCACCTATGGCATGCCGTTGCCGCCATGGACACGCACCCATGGCATGCCGTGGCCGTCGCGGACGCGCACATATGGCAGGCGCGCACCCTGGTATGCCGCGGCAGTCGCGAACGCGCACCTATAGCATGCCACGCGAGCTACCGGGCATGTCGTGGTCGTCGCGGACCTATGGCATGCCGGGCGAGGAGCGACCCGGCATGCCGGGGCCGTCGTGGACGGGCACATATGGCCTGCTGGGCGAGCGGTGTGCTGGGCGGCACCGCAAGGCGCGCGGCGGGCCGGCAACCGAAGAGTTAAGCAACGCAGCGGCGTAAGGGGCGACGCTCCCTCGATGCCGCGACTGGGCTGGCGCAGGCCGAGTGCCGGCCGCGTGGGCGAAAGCACGGTACCGAGCTGAAACGGAAGGAGGACTGGTGATCGATGCATTTATACCTGGCGATGGTAGCAGCCGTGGCGGTGGCGGCAGCATCAAGCGATCCACGAAATTTGTCCATTGGTTCAGCTCCGCCGGCTCACGTCGCCGTCGTCGCTGCTTGAGCCGTTCCCGTCGGGCGTCGGGGTGGCAGCGCGCGAGCGAGAGGGACGGTGGCGGCGGGCTTGGAAACTGGCTGGAAGAATTTCCTTGGTGGGATTTGTGCCGCGCGCGCTCTGTTTTATAGTAGTAGGAGGTAGCTGAATCAGACGCGAGGAGGACGGCGACCCGTCATTGTGGAATCCCGTCCCGTGGTGCACATGAAACCTACTTACTTTTTTAACTAAGTAGAAAACTGTGGATCGATTTCAAGCTACACCTCGAAGCCAGAATGACAAAACAATGATACGGATAGTTGGTATAGTTGATTGAACTGTTCATGTGCTTGGAATGAATCACTCGATCGGGTGAGCTTGGAATGAATCACTCGATAGTTGTTTAGGCTAAGGCTGTTCAGATGAAAATGTACGTAGTTATTTATCCCTGAGCTTGGAATGAATCACTCGATCGGGTGCATGTGCGTCACCGTTCGTCCGATCCCCCTTAACAGACATACTGCCGTTAGTAGAATATATATAAATATAATACCCTGTCGCTAATGATGGATTTGGGTCGAGAATTTGTTCACGGATATTTTTCCGCTAAATAATGCAACTACTACTGTTAACGATGCTGGCTGACTCGCGCGTTGGAGGCGAGCAAGGGTGGCGCCGGACGGACGGGTTCACCAGGTCAACAGCAGCAGCAGCTTGCATTGCAACCCAAACCCTGCATCGACGACGAACGGCCAGGCTGCTCGGTGCCGCTCCGCGGTTAAGCCGGACCGTGTGTTTGGTTTGCGTCGTCAGCTAGCCTTTGCTCTCTCGCGTAATTTTAGGTGCGCGTCACCGCTTCACAGCGCGCTTCGCCCGCGCACGCGCAACTGCACTGCGCTCGGTTCACTGAAATGAAAATGAAAAATTGGCGCCGCCATCTCCGCGAAGCAGCTTATCGGATCTTTTTTTTATTCTATACCAATATAAAAAAACTCAAAGAGGCAAATCCAAACCATCACGACCGTCAAATCATATTATCTAGCGGTTGAAATCGCTTCAACGTTGAGCACCAAACACGTTTAATGCTTTAATTGCCCACCACTGCCATTGGTTATAAACACATTTTGACTCAACGTTATCCTATAAAATCTGTCATGTAATTAATATCCTACCATTTCCACGAAAAAGTAATTGATATCTTACCAAATACCAACGTGCAACAGATATATCTTACCTAATATAACGTGCAACTAATATCCTACCTAATATAAACGTGCAATGCACGTACATTATTACTAGTACACCAAAAAAGGAACAGATTCGTCAGGAACCAAAAGGAAAACGAATTCACCTAATAATAAAAAAAAAGGAAAAAGATGCATCGCCGGCGAGGCGCACAAATGCCAGCGTGCGATTCGTATCGCAGCACAGGTCGTGTTACGACGGGCAGCAACAACGAGACAAAGCGTCCGCCGTCGGCGCTTCCATGTTTGGACGGGTCCGAGGATGGATGCGACGTGGGGCCCAGGTGTGGTTGCCGGGGCGAGCAGAGGCTGTGAAGCCGACGGGCGCATTGAGTCAGAATCTCAGTCTAGTCACCGTACAAGCAGCCAAAGCACGGCCGCAGCCGGCCTGGCTAATTTAACTATCACCACTCCTCCGTCAGCACTATGATGCTACGTACCACGTACCATGACATAATTGGTTGGCGACGCTGAGCAACACTTTCCTTGTCAGTACGTACTTTTTTTTTTTTTGAAATGCAATACGTACATTTGTTGATGACGAAGCAGGCAACCGAGCGTGCGCGCGTTCATTCTATCCGCAGCAGCGTTGGCGCCGCGTGCGCGCCATACGGCCCGGCCTTCTAGATGGAGCGCGCAGGCTAGGTCAACCCGTGCTGCTTCTGTCTATTGGAAATGAGTCGGACGTATGCATGTGGCGCTGTGATATGGGCTTCGGATACTCCTCCTTTGGGACGATTAGATCAATTGCTGGTTGGAAGCTACTCTGCTACTCGGAATATCTAATGATTTTCTTAATAATAAAGGATGAATTTTATTTACTCGGAATGAGGCATCAAGTGTACAATCGTAATGAGCACACACACCCAGCTTGTGCACAGCTAGAATGTACACAAACCAACACTAATACACCCACATAAACACGTCGAGAAAAAGCAAAGTCATCAAAGACCAAAACTACGCTGAAGTGAGAAAAAGGAAATAAAATATCCCATATCGATCAAAACTCAGCAACATATCGAGCAATGTTTTGCTTCATATTAGACCATCAGAATCTCTGACGGATGTCTTGGTACATCTTTGTACTACCAGGATGGATAGATAGAGGCGTATCATGAGCTTCTTTCATAACCTCCTGTGTCATATCATGGTTTTCCTCTCAACATGGCACCACTAGGCGGCCCTTGAAGTACAAGATGCCATCATCAGCAATAGTGAAGAACGAGGGTCTTCCTTCAGCGAGGTAGCGCTTAATCTTGTGGACTTGAGAGTCATAATTCTGTAGCGTTTTGATGCTGTCAACGAGCTCAAATTTAGCAACCAGGGTATTGAGAGAACCCTGGGTAATTACGTGGAGGTTCATCTTGCGGCACTCGGGGGGAGGGGGAGCGAATGCACCCGGAGGAACTATATGGAGGTTCACCTTTCTGAATTCTTCAACAAGCGAGGGCTCAACCATGTGAACCTGGAGGTGCTTGCAGTAAGACTTGCGGCTCAAATCATCAACCATTACATTAGCCTTGCCTGGGGTATAGGATATACCCACGTCGAAGTCTGCAACAGTCTCCATCCATCTCTGCTGTCGGAGGTTCAGGCCTGGCTGAGTAAACAGATACTTCAGACTTTGGTGGTCGGTGAAGATCTCGCAATGATTACCAAGAAGGTAATGTCGCCACTGCTTTAGTGCATGAATGACAGCAAGCAAGCTCGAGGTCGTGAACTAGGTAGTTTTCTTCGTGAGGGCGCAGTTGACGAGTGATAAGTTAGAGGCCTAACGATCTTGGAGAAGTTCTCGACGAATCGACGGCAATAGCTGGCAAGACCGAGAAAACTTCGGACTTGCTTGACATTCTGCGGAGGAGTCCAATCGAGAATAGCCTGAACTCGTTCAGGTTTGACGGCAATACCATCCTTGGAGATGACGTGCCCAAGATAGGTTACTTCAGGGAACCAGAATTCACACTTGGAAACTTAGCATAGAGTTGACGCTCCCGTAGCTTTTCCAGCACAAGACGAAGATGTTCAGCATGTTCTTCCTTGTTCTTGGAAAATACAAGGATATCATCCAGATAAACCACGACAAACTTGTCAAGGTAATCCATGAATATATAGTTCATCAGACGAGAGAAGGTGGCGGGAGCATTCGTTAAGCCGAATGACATGACAGTGTACTCGTATGACCCATACCGAGTCACGAAGGCGGTCTTTGGGATATCATCTTCACGAACACGAATCTGGTGGTAACCCAACCTCAAGTCGAGTTTGGAGAACACTGATGAGCCAGCCAGTTGATCATAAAGATCATTGATCCGAAGAAGAGGATATTTGTTCTGGATAGTGGCTTGGTTAATAGGTCGATAATCTTGGACCAATCGGTCTGTCCCATCCTTCTTCTTAACAAAGAGAGAAGGTGCTTCCCAACGAGAGAAACTAGGGCGAATGAAACCTTTGCTAAGAGATTTGTCGATTTCCTCCTTAAGCTCAATGCATTCATGTGGCGGCATCTTGTAGGGTCGTTTGGCTATAGGGATGGTGCCTGGTTTCAAGTCGATAATGAGTTCGACAGCCTTAGCAGGGGGAATCCCTGGAAGTTCTTCCGGGAAGACGTCTTGGAATTCACAAACGATGGGAATGTTTTCAATGCCCTCGAGTCATGCAGCGTTCAACGCATTCAAGGCATAAAGCCGTGCCTTGGCGTTCTGAACTAGATGAGCCTGGTAAGCAATTATTTCATCAGAAGGGTGTAGCAGATGGACGGTCTTAGTGGCGCAAACTATAGAAGCAGTATGCGCTTTCAACTTCCCAGAATGAGGTCGATGCTACAGAACTTCAGTACGATGGGAGAGACGAGGAATTCCAGTCCTTCGATTTCAATGGGGACGTCGTTGCAAATCATGGAGGTCCCACATTGGCCTGTGGGAGGTCCCACATTGGCCTGCGGGAGTGTGTACTAATAGCGAAGTGTTCATGTCATCGCTTTTAATGCGATGCATGAATGCAAAATCCTCTGACATGAATGAATGTGATGCACCTGTATCAAATAAAACAGATGTTGGTACTGAATTTACAAGGAGTGTACCCATCACAGTAGCAGGCTGGTCTTGAGCTTCATTGAGATCAACGTGGTTGGCATGAACACGACCATAAGACCTGGCATTGTTGTTGCGAGGCTGGTTGTTTCCACGGCCAGCTGCGGAAAGGGCCAGTTGATTCTGATTCTGATTGTAGTCTCTGGCATGGTGACCTGGCTGACCACACTTGTAGCAGAGACCATTATTAGGAGTGGGAACAGGAGCTCGGGGTGGTGGAGCTGGAAGTCTTGGCTGCCTAGTTGGTGGGGGAGGCAGACGCAGTGCAACATAGGACTGCCTTGGAGCAGGTGCAGTTGGCTGGTACATGCTGTTGGGAATCCATATCCTACGCTTCTGCGAGGATGGGCCCGAAGATGAGCCCGTGTCACGGTTGCGCCTGTGAGAGCTCTGGTGTTCCTGTAGACTAGTTTCGACATTGATGGTCTTGTTCACCAAGGTGGCGAAATCAGCAAAGTCACGCACTAGAAGTGCGAGCTTGATGTCAGCTTGAAGGCCATCACGGAACTTCTCCTGTCTGCGTGCATCAGTTGCAATGTCTTCTTCAGCATAGCGGGACAAGTCCAGAAACTCCCGCTGATAAGTTTTCACAGTTTTGTTGCCCTGAGTGAGGTTGCGGAACTCGCGCTTCTTCCGGTACATGACCCCCTGAGG